CCAAGAACCCGCGCCTTGCGCCAAATGGCCTCCCGGCCCTGACGCAAGTCCCTACCTTTGAGCGTCCTCCCCACGCCTTCCAGCACCGAGAACGTGGTCCTCGCCGACAGCCCCGACCCCCTCGCCACCAGCTCGTGCGGCGGCAGCATCTCGTCGTCTCCGTCGTCATCATCGTCTACGACATCAGCCAGGTCGTCGTTTCTCCGATGCTTCTCCACCGCCCTGGACAGCATGGGAACCTTCATCGGAGCCGAGCTCTGGAACTTTCTCGACGTCGGCACGGACTGAGACTGCGACTGCGACTGAGACTGAGACTGAGAAAATCTCGGAATTGAAGGTATGGGCTTCGACGACGATGATGAAGAGAGCGCGGGCTTCCGGTACAGGACCGGAGCCGGGAGACCTGGCTCCGGGAGGACCGCGAGTATACCGGAGTTGACCCGGCGCATCAGACTGACCCGGGTGTTCTGCGCGTCGCTGGGCTCGGTGAAGTCGGTGGTCCAGAAGACCTCGGCCTCGTTGAGCTCCTCGCCAGCGGCGGCGGAGGAAGGCGGTGAGAATGAGAAGAAGCCGAGGAAGCGATCTGACGACGGCGATCGTTGGTGGCAGAAGCTGGTTGAATCCATTGATTGTGGATTTCCCTTTCTTTCTTTTTTTGGATAGAGAGGCAAGAAAAAGGAAGAGACTTTTGGTTTTGATGTGGCGGACAGACGCAGAGTGTGGTGGGTGAGGCAAAATAAGAAGAGCAGAGAAAGAGAAGGAAAGTGGGAGGCACCTGAAATTGTTGGAGTGGAGTGGGACCCACGTGGGGGAGTTGCTTTCGGAAAGGATGTGTGGGCGTTAGTTTTAGTTTTTAGTTTTTTTTTTTTGGCGGGTCCCGCAGGCCTTAACGAAGTCGCATCCGAGTCCCATTTTTTCTCCCTAATGGAAAAAATGGATGTTAATGTGCCGTGTAATCTAAGGAAATTAATTGACCAAAAAAAAAAAAAAAAATCTAAGGAAATTAGTGTAGAGTTGGAATTACTACTATAGATATAGACTAGTGGTGGTGTGCACGATCGGGTTGGTTTAAATCTGGATTAACTAAATCCCAATCGTTTGGTGAAATCATAATCCTACTACATTTCAGCCTAATCAAATTAAACATGATCCTATCTAAGATTGTTTTTAGAACGCTTGGGCCTAGTAAAATTATACATAATCTAATCTAGATAGTTTTAGGCCACTAGACAATTAAGCAGGATTATGAATCATATCCATCTATATAATCGGCCTATTAATATAAGGATTTTACATGTATTGAATTTGTAAAATGAAATATAATACAAAAGAACTATAATAAATACCAACATTCCAACGGTTAGACAATCAAATTAATATAAACAATTTCATCAGTTTTAGGTGTTTTTTAAGAGAAGTGAGATATATTGAATTCATAATTCAAGTCTCACAAAGATCAATATTATTACAAACAACCACATAATTTTAATACAAATACGGATGCACAATAATCACAAGGAGGTGAATCCAAATATAGATTAGTCCATCAATGTGCACTTCCACTCATAGTCACACATGACCTAAGAAATTATGGTAAAAAGGTGGCAAGTGTAGAAAGGAACTAGATACATAAAAATACAAACACGGGACAAACTCATAAAGAGTTTATACACTTATTACAACTCAAAAAATTACAACACAAAAAGTGAATAAAGACCAATCCACCACCATGTCTTCTTCAAGTTCATTTTTTTTTCTTTGAGACACTATATGATATTTTTACAACAGGCCAATACATATATAATAAAACTATACCATAACTAGGTATCGAACTCATCACAATATATATATATATATATATATCGTTCTCTTCATTTATGTAAGTTGAACTTGAAACCTACTCCAATTAATAAGAGACAAATACCACTAAATCAAAGGTTCATTTTTGCAGTTTGATTTGGTAGAAAATGTTTGTTGCTTCTAGCTTAATTATAAATCAAAGTGACGAAACTTGAGAAAATAGGTTCTTACCAATATTCAACACAGGCCAAAAGAAAAGGTAAAATAAAAAACACTAAAATATACAACAATACTTCATTCTAAATCACCAAGGAAGAAAAAATACAATACTTTGGTCTTACTCGCTTACGTACCAAGATATCCCAAGTTATTTCCTTCCTGGCGTCGACCGATGGAACACCGGAACAGAGCACTGCGCACACCCGGCGCATTTTAGAAACATACACCTGTCTTCAATCGCAGCTACAGTTCCAGAGTTCCACTCTTACGCTCTGTTTGATTCTCCGATTGAAATCTCGTAGAGGCTCGTCTCGTTCCATCTTCTTCATTGACTCCACCTCCCCCAAACCCGCGATGCTGACCACGGTAATTACAAAATTGCCCCTGCTCGCTTTCCTCTTCTTCTATCCCCAAATTGTACAATTGGGTCTTAATTTTGATGATTTGTTTCCTAATTTGGATTTCCACTTGGCTTCTTCTTGATTGTGTGGTATGGAGCAGCAGAGAAGTGTATCGGGCTCGTCGCAGAGCCCTAGATCTCCATCCTCGCAGCCGTACCTGTCAGTCTCAGTGACTGATCCTGTGAAATTGGGCAATGGCGTCCAGGCCTATATCTCCTATCGTGTAATCACCAAGGTATTCCGGGATTTTCATTTTCTATTTGTGCTAGTAGTCGTAGATTTAATTTGATCAGGGTTAGGGTTTATTGCAGGATGTGTTTCTGTGAGTGGGTTCATTGCGTAATTAACAGTAGCTGCGTGGTTGATTGATAGCTCACAGTTAGGGCTGACAAAAGTTCACAACTTGTGATATAGGGAAATGGGTTGATGAGATTGTTGAAGAAAATTACGAATGATCAATTCAGTTAATGCTAGATTAGGTCTTAAAATAGCAAGTAGGAAAATGGGATACCCGGGCATGGGAGAAAGAAATTAAGAATTTGTATCTACATGATCATACAATATGCACTGAAAATTGAAAACTATTCAAGCTTTATGTGCCATAGCATTTCCTTGCTAACAAAGATGAAACAAGCTAACAGGAATCTGGATAATGGTTTTGTACGTATGTTTTGGCAGAAGACTTGGGTCTAGTGTTGGTTTATTAATGATGGTAAGATTGATTATTGATTGAATTGGGGACAATGTTGCATTTATCAGTTATTCTTGTTATCAAATGCGTGCAAATGAACTATGTTTTTATTATGGATCTTTTGAGGTTGAGCATGCTGTGAATAACATGCTTGGTGACTTGGGCTGAGCTTGCAATCTCTAAGCGGGCTCTGTAAATCTTATTTTTGTGACTATTGTTGATGCAATCTTATAGGCTTGATTATATTATTGAGTTTTGACATCCCTGTCATGTTTGTATTACTTTTTGAATGAATACTTTTGCTTTGGCAGACAAATTTTCCTGAGTACCAAGGGCCGGAGAAGATTGTTATTAGACGGTACAGTGATTTTGTTTGGCTACGTGACCGTATTTTTGAAAAATACAAAGGAGTTTTTATTCCTCCTCTCCCTGAAAAGAGTGCTGTAGGTAACAACATCGCTCTACCCACTTTCTTAGGATTCCTTGGTGTACTAAGTAGAAAATGCCACATTTACATTTCCGTGAGCATAATTGTTTTCTGCCACTAAATTATTTTGCTTGCATCATCATGGTACAGCTTGACATACGTAGTTGGATAAAACTTGGTTAGTGTTTGAAATTGCCAGTCAAGGGATTGTGGTAGTGTGTAGGTGGTTAGCCCACCCTGTGGGAATTTTTGTTTGTAGGTTTGTAACCAGTGAAATGCTTGGAGTGTTTAGGCACCTAAAAAGGTTACCCTTTTTCACTCTTTTACACAAATCTGTTTATTGTGTATTCTAAAGAAGGGCTTAGAGGCAAGAAGTTGAATTCCAGCAGGACACTTCTGCCCAATCCTATTGCATGCAAGGTGCTTTGTGCATTTTTCTTGTTGGCTACATGAACATATTATTTTGGGTTTATGTAAGGATCATGCATTGATGGTTTTCCTAGTCTTTGTAAAATGTGATTAATGAAGTTTTAGTAAGATTATGTTGGAATCATTTTAAATATAACAGGACTAACTTCAGTCTTTTTAATGCAGAAAAGTTCCGTTTCAGTGCTGAATTCATTGAGATGAGGCGTCAAGCATTGGATGTATTTGTTAATCGAATAGCTTCACATCATGAGCTTCAGCAAAGTGAGGATCTGAGAACCTTCTTGCAGGCAGATGAAGAGGTAATGTTTCTAAACTGATGCCTTGAGTTACACAGTTCACTACCATGAAAGTCAATAGGTCACCTGTGTTGGACATCTGAAAAATAGCTGAACTGATTCTTTGTTGTGCACACACAAACACATACCTCTAATAAGAATTTATATTGAATAATGTGCAAAGGCTTCAGAATATTTGACATGTTTCTGTAACTTGTTCAGACAATGGAGAGATTAAGGTTTCATGAGACTGGTATCTTTAAGAAGAAGCCAGCAGATTTGATGCAAATCTTCAAGGTAACATAGACTCTGCACAATGTTCCGAAGATGAAAAGTTTGCATGAGCTATTCATTAAAAAAAGAAAGCATTTTATGAGCTATTAAGGAACATTCTGTAACTTCTTCTTATTTTGCAAAATTTTGCATAATCCTCTAGCAGGTACTTCTCATTTTCAATAAATTTAGACAAGTAACCTGTAATGGGCACATTGTAAGGTTAATTTTCTGATTCAAGTACAGAAAATCTGTAGAAAATTGTCACTGTCATATTTATGACCTATGTTATAGACATTGTGTAGCCAAATAGAAAAACAGAACATTTATCTGTTGTGGAATATTTGAAGAAGAGATCTCCTCGCAACCTCTGTCTTGAATGCAACATAACACTTTAGCCATCTGAGAGCATTATTTGGATTCTGTAAAGTCAGTTCTGCTTGATGATAAATCCAATTCTTTCAAATTCTTTCAATTTTTAAAATTTTTAAAATTTGCTAAGTCTGTTGTCAAGTGAATCAAAAGGAGCAGTCCTTTATCCACTGCACAATTCATTCCTTGTGCATTTATGATCTCTATTGGACTGAATAGGCCACTTAAACTAGTACACTTTCCTTTTGGAGTGATTATCTGATTGAGCAATAACAGCACCTGCATGTTTGACAGGATGTACAGTCTAAAGTGAGTGATGTTGTTCTTGGAAAGGAAAAGCCAGTGGAAGAGTCAAATCCAGAATATGAGAAGTTGAAACACTACATCTTTGAGCTTGAAAACCAATTGGCTGAAGCCCAGAAGCATGCATACCGTCTTGTAAAGAGGCACAGAGGTAATAATGATGAAGGCTTAACTTTATAGTAGTTATTATTTCTGTATCAGGTGCTCACTTCTTTATTCTTAATTAGTACGTGTGTATAGGATAAAATTTGATTGTTTTTAACTATATTTATGCAGAGCTTGGACAGTCTCTCTCAGATTTCGGGAAAGCAGCCAAGCTCCTTGGAGCTTGTGAAGGTAATGCTCTTGGAAAGGCTTTCACCGAGCTTGGGGCAAAGTCAGAGGTATTATCAATCAGACTGCAAAAGGAGGTAGGCTTCAATTGAGAACGCAGCATAAATTAGTGTTCCAGTGTGTACATTTTGTTGAGGTTGCCTCTCTGTGTACATGCCTGGTGTTGACTTTTGTTGTGCATTTTATTTTATTTAAGAGCTTATCATGTTATATTGTAGTATTACTGTTCTTGTATTTCTTTGTAGGCTCACCAACTCTTAATGAATTTTGAAGAACCCTTGAAAGATTATGTTCGCGCTGTGCAATCTATTAAGGTGAATGCAGTTTGACTTGTTAATGTTTTCAGAATATATCATCTCTCATTGCATTTTTTTCTTTCCCCATTAGATAGTACTGTAGGTGTATGGTTAAGCTTAAATTTTGATCCTCAATACTTGTTCCTGTGGGAAAATCTAATTCATGGTTACAAATTATTGGTAGAATTTTATTCCTGTCCATTCGGCACTATACTTGTAGAATTTATTCCCTCCCATTCCAGATAATCTTTATATGTCATAAAAGCTGATCCTGGAAAAGTTAAGAAGTGGCTATGAATTATTTGTAAAATTTTTTATTTCCCAACCTATTTTGGCCTTCTGGATAATCTTCATTTGTCATAGAAGCCACTGATCCTTCTGCTTTTGTGTGTTGAAACAGGCCACGATAGCTGAGAGAGCAAATGCCTTCAGGCAACAGTGTGAACTTGCTGAAACAATTAAGTTGAAGGAGATAAATCTGTATGCATCTAGCCAACTATTGTGTTTCTCTGCTTGTCTAAATATGCTGTTAGGCTGGCCACTTGTAAATTGAAAGCATAGACAAGTAGCCAGTATTAAAAATGGCTGGCCTCTTCTAGTTTTTCAGTAAACAAAGAAATGATTAAGAATTAAAAATTGCAAAAAAATTGTAGATGACAACCAATTGATTCAACTAGAATTGGATTTCACTCACCATGTTGATTTAGACATCATGGTGCTCTTTCTTTTCTGTAACTGTTTGTTGGTCTGATGATTGGTTTAATCCCTTTTGTCAATTGGTTTGCAGTGAAAAACTCATGCTCACGCGATCAGACAGGGTTGGAGAAGCTGAGCACGAGTACAAGGAGGCAAGTCAGCTGATGCAATAGTATATGGTGTACACATTAGGGATCTTCATTATTTGACTAGAATTGGTTTTGTGATGCAGTTGAAGGCTGAGGGTGAGGAGGCGAGTAGAAGATTTGAAACAATGGTGCGACTGATGAACGAAGAGATTGTCCGTTTTCAGGAACAAAAAACAACAGACATGGGGATCTCTTTCCACGAATTTGCCAAAGGACAGGCGCGCCTGGCAAATAGTATTGCAGATGCTTGGCGAAGTCTCCTCCCCAAGCTCGAAACTTGTTCCTCTGCATAGCTAATGAATTTTAAACCAGAGCAGTATACTTCACTTGGTCCGTAGAGATGGCAGGGCAGCTCTTGCTTTGTAAAAACTGTCGACCTTCAGGAGTTTGTTCTGCTATTCTGGTGTTGTACGAGTTGTGGTTTACAAATTTGTTTAAATCCATTTTAACTTATTACCTGTACAAATTCAGAGCTAATTGAAAAGCTTTACTATCTGCTTTGTCATTTGCAGAGCAAACCACTAATAGATTTTCATGTGTACCTAACACATTGGACTTATTTTCACATTTTGCTGCACTTTGAAATGTTGAATTCTCCCTGAGTTGACCATTGAAATTGAAATCTCGGTACTTAGGGCGTGTTTGAGGATCTTTTAAAAGAAAAATCTATTATGTGGGAAGTATTTTATTTTTCAATTAAATATTGAGTATTTTTTCCACGATAATCTAAACAACTCTAAATTAATCTAATCTAAAGACCTATCTCAAATGTAGAAATGCAAGGTGTCATGTATCAAATCATTGTTAACGTCAATTGTACATACATGGGCTATTTTTTTTACCATTAATGGAGTGCGGGCTATACATAAATCAATGGTAAAAAATTGCTCCCTCCCGTCGTACATAAATTATAAAATGGTAATTGAAATTAAGATATGTTAAAGATTCGATTAATTCTTGTATAATACAAAAAAAAAAAAAAAAAAAGAATGAAGAAAAAAAATTAGAATTGGAAAAATAATGTGATGTGGAGGGTGGGTACGTGGTACTTTGCTGACGTGGCATGAACTGATTGGAAAATGTATGAAGCGCTTCTCACCAACCGTTCCCTTCCCGCCTCGTAAAAGAAGATGAAAAGAAAGCAAAGCAGCATATCCTGTAAAATTCCTTCTCCTTCCTCGTTTCTTCCTCCTATCCCACCTCTGAATTCTAACAAAAAAAACTCTTCGTTTACTTAGCTTCAGTTCAGCTAGCCATGGCCAATGCTGTGACTATGGGAGCGAGGTCACTCCCCTTCCACTCCGCACGTGTCAATTCCCACGTGCCATTCTCTCCCCCTCTCTCACTGGCAGCTTCCACCACCACCAGCAGCCACGGCTTCTTCCCCAAGCTTAATTTATACTCCGGCCACTGCCACCGCCCAAATAAAACGACACCGGCCAGGGCGTCGTATGAGGAAAGAAACAGCCTCGTCCCTTCTGACGACGCTGAAGATGGCGTCTTGCTTGGGACCATGAAATTGCCCTCGGATACCGACGTTCCCAGATTCCAGATCTTGCTCTTCCAGGTACTATTTGTGTTATGTACTTATTATTTAAAGGGTATATTCTAACATCAAAGCTGGAATAGCTCAGCTGGTTAGAGCGTGTGGCTGTTAACCACAAGGTCGGAGGTTCGAACCCTCCTTCTAGCGCTTTTTTATTTCATTTTTTTATATTTTTGTTGGAAGTAAAATATGCTGTGTTTTGTTTAACAGTGGGCTAATAGTCTCGCCCAAGGAGCTAACTTGCCTCTCCCTTCTCCTTTAAAGGTACACATTACTCAACAATTCAGTTCTTTTCTTTCATTTTCATTTTAAATTTATGGTCTCTTAGCTATGTTGTAACACCCTAGACTCTGATAGCTTGTTGAGTCCAACGTCGGTGAACTACTGGGTCAATCTGAGTCTAATTATTGAGTAATCCTTTTGGGGTATGTCGCGGAGGTGGCATGCGCTTCTTTGGGTTGTGACATATGTTGGGTGTTTGCATTAATATTTTTGTTGCTAATTGCATGGACACATTGGACAACACAAACATGTGGTACATGTATTATGACAATAGCATTGAGCCCTGTAGTGATATCTATCTATCTCAGCCTCCTTGCAACGTGTAATGGATTGAATAATCTTGTGCGCATTGCAATGGAACAGGTGGACAAAATTGCAGGTGGGACTAGATTGGGTTTTATTACGATTGGGGACGGGGAGACTGAGGTCCTTGTATACATAGATTGCTTGGTTTTTCCAGCAGATGCTGATTCTGGGCCGATTTTCCGAGCTGTGAGAAATGGACGCTTGAAGGATAAGACGCCTCCTGGTGAGCCAAGAATCATGAGAAGTCTTATGCAGGCTCTTCAGAAGTCGGTTGAAATCGCTAGAGTGTAAAGAAGTTAGCTATATGTTTGTGATTATATGCGCTTTCTTATGTAATGCAAATATTTGTACTTCTCTTAAGTCCGAATAAATTTGGTCTCAGTGAAAGTTTGGTTTCGGCAAACAGAACTTAGTTCTTGTTGTTTGTACATTTTTATGCTGTCGTGACCGAAGTCGGTTGAAATCGCTAGAGTGTAAACAAGTTTGCCATATGTTTGTGATTATATGCGCTTTCTTATGTAATGCAAATATTTGTACTTTTCTTAAGTCCGAATAAATTTGGTCTCATTGAAAGTTTGGTTTCGGCAAACAGATCATAGTTCTTGTTGTTTGTACATTTTTATGCTGTCGTGACCGAATGTGCGAACATGTTTGTGAACTCCAAGCAACCCTCTTAAGTTTTAACAACTGTGTCTGCTTCTGCAACATTCAATGCAAAAAAGGACTGGGATTGTCCAGAAACACCATTAAGGTGCTTTTTAACATGCAGACACAACACTAAACTACATTATATTGTTGAGCTCTGATTTTATATTGTTCTGATTTATGTCCTTTGTGCTGCTAGACTACATTATATTTGCTGTTTCTTGGATGTTATATGTTTGACAGGCCAAGGCATTGGGATGATATTGTCTAGGAGCTTATTACTAGGTAATCATTCTCTCAACTTTGTCTTAACTAAACCCATTGGTTTCTTCAAAGCTAAAAAAAAAAAAGCAAGTTGTAATCTTCAAAGCTAAAAAAAAAGGAAGTTGAAGTTACTATTACACCTATTAAAGAAGGGCACTAAGAAACAAAATTTTATATCCAGTACTCTCCATGTTGGCAGTATATTCAGCTATAAGGTATCTTGAATCTGAGACTGAATCTCTCAGACTGTCGTTTGGTACTCCATTACTTCCCTTTAACCCTTTGTAAGATTTTGACCGTAAATAAGAAATTTCCCTGACTTCTTGATTTGAGACTTAAAAGAAAATGGAGAAACAAGCAACAACAGAAGGATTTTTTGATGATGGACACGAAGATGGTTACGACGCAGTTGTTGTGGGGTCTGGCTATGGTGGTTCTATTGCTGCTTGTCGGTTGTCTATGGCAGGCGTAAAGGTATGTCTAATTGAGAAAGGCCGGAGATGGGAATCTAAGGACTTTCCAACTGACAACTCCAAAATCTTGTCTGCTATGAGGATGGAGAACCAGAACCTAGGCATTAGCTTTGGACGAAAAGATGCTTTGTTCCAGGTTATTCTCTCTTCCTCTGTTTCTTTTTCATGCTGTTATCTCATTGTGTTAGAGAGTGCAGCTCGGGCAATATCTCCACGCTATATTGTCCTTCCTTTTTTCAATTTAAATCCCACTAGTCATGGGGTCTTTATTTCCTTTAATTTCTGATGTTACTTGCTTACTATTGTGTATATACAGATGTTTTTACTACAACTTAGAAACATATACAGTTTTCCCAAAACCTTGCGCCTTGCAGCTCATATATTAAACGTAAATACAACGTGACTATAGTGTTTTGTTTTGGGATTTGGGAGCTGCCAAACACCATGAACAAACTCATATTCAGTGATTACTGGATCTTATAAGGGAATAATATCGCCAGACATTTTGAGTGGATTTTTTAAAATCAATTTATATGACCTTAGGCAGGTCATCTGGAAAAGATTCTAACTCTGTCGCATGGAAGTTAAAACCTATGTGATTACTTAAAATGCATCTATTATGATGGAAGTGTAGGTATATGAACAAAATGATTCTCTAGCAGCAGTTGCCTGTGGGCTTGGTGGAGGTTCACTAGTGAATGCAGGAGTTATGGTTCCAACACCAGTTCGTGCGAGACGGCATCCAAAGTGGCCAAAGGAATGGGAAAGAAATTGGGATAACTGTGAAGCTTCTGCTGCAGCCATGCTGAAAGCACAGAGTATTCCTGTCAAATTTCCTATTGCGAAAGTTATGGAAGAAGTTTCTAATGGAGAGAGTGGAGAAACTTTTGATACTTCAGTAAAGCTAAGTGTGAATTTTGACCCTGAAGAACCTCTAGCCGATGCAATGGGTACCTGCTTAGCCTGTGGAAACTGTCTTTCTGGATGTCCTTATAATGCCAAAAGTTCTACCGATAAAAATTATCTACGTTCCGCAATCCAGGCATGCCTTATGTTATACTATATATGTGGAGAAAATAATAATATCCATTAGGATGTAAGAGACGTTTTTGTTTAAGTTTTAAGGTCACCCTCTCCACTAAAACCGGTGTTTCTTGTGAAGCAGGCAGGATGCGTTGTTAAAACAGAATGTCAAGTGCAGTATGTGGTTAGAAACCTGCATGAAAGCTTACAATATGAAGGAAAAGTTGGAAGAAAAAATAGAAGATGGCTTGTTTACTTCAATGAGATTGACTCTATCACCTCTGATTTCATAATCCTATCAGGTAAGAAACAGTCAAAGTAGGTATCTTCTGGAAATTTTGATCACAGAGATTCTAACAATTTCTAGACTTGGTTTTATCAGCTGGAGTTTTTGGCACAACTAAGATACTCTTCCAGTCACAAATGAGAGGACTAAAACTTTCAGAAGCACTTGGATCTGGATTCAGCTGTAATGGGAATACCGTGGCTTATCTTGCTGGGAGCCCAGCACCACTGAATGGCTACGGATTAGACAGAAAGAAAGTGTTTAAGATGCCATTTCAAGAAAGGCCAGGGCCATCCATCTCTTCATCTTACACTTCTTCACTGGGCTTTACAATCCAGGTTCAGAGACTTCTTTACACTTAATTGACTTTAGTTTTTTTCATTCATTGCAATTTATGGCTTGGTTCCAATTACTTTTAATTTGCAATGGAAATCAACGTTGTATCATATAATTATCTGGTGGGAAATCTAGATTGAGTTTACATGGCTTTCCAGATACGGCCAAAATTTCTGTGGTGTTGGAGTTAGTCATAGTTAACCTCACAACTTAGTACAGCTGGTGTGATTGTGATGTACCACAATACATACCCCGCTGACGGCCTTAAAGTCGAGGTGCCTGATATGGTCAAGAATGAAGATAATTATTAAGTAGCTGCTGATCTGGTTTTTGCACAAAAACGAGTGAATTATTATATATATGAACTATGAATTATGCATGCATATATAAATATTAATCTGAACTTCTGCAAATGAAAATGCTATTTTGTAAGATGGATACAACCACCTCTTATGTAGTTTCCTCTGTCAGAGTGCTGTGCTTCCTACAGCTTATCCGTACCTGCTGTTTAAAGGAATTACAACATATGGATGGCCTGCTGGATACTGGTTCTTTCATGGGATTATAGACAAGATAAAACATATCATGGGTTTCAAAGCAAGCCAAGCAATGGTTCTTATAGGATTAGGATATGATGAAAGTGATGGTAAGATCATGTTAGAAAGGGGCACAAACAAAATCCGCTTTATCCCAGCTCATGATCTCCTTCTCCCTCGAAAAATTAAAGCTTTTCAAAAGATCACTAAGAAATTAGGAGGAATTCTCTTTATGTCAAAATATCGAAGCACATCGGTTCATCTTTTAGGCGGGTGCAATGCATCATCAGAACCTTCACACGGTGTTTGCAACCCCAGTGGGCAGGTTTTTGACGCAGAGGGTTCAACCACAGTACATCCAGGCCTCTATGTGTGCGATGCTTCTTTGATCCCATGTTCTGTTGGAATAAATCCATCTCTTACTATTGCCACTGTAGCTGAGCACATAAGTAAGCAACTTGTGCAGGATGTTCTCAAGAACAAGAGGAGAAAAGGGCTTGAATGTGTTCTCAAAACTGCTAACCAAGGTCCAGATTCCTTCACTGATAAGACTATAATTACTGGTCAGAGATCAGAGGTCTTGATTAAAGAAACCATGAGAGGTTATGTTGGGGGTATGCCCTGCACAGCTTATCTCAGAATGAAGATGAACACTGGGGACCACTCTGACGAACAGAAGTCTGGTACTGGAGAATCCCATCCTCTTCTAAGAGGGAAAGTGGGAGGGTATGTGGAATTTAGAGCCTTTGAGAAGGATGAATTACACGTCATAGATGGGGGCGTAAATTTGTGTGAAGTAGATTGCAGAACTCCTTACACACACTATATGCATTATAATCTTCTTCTTGGGGCTTCTACTGGTTCAAGGTATATGAAACTTGAAAATTTGATAGCTTTTCACTTGTTTTCTTTTGTCACAATTAAAACATTACCAATTTTGGTGCAGGTATATTCTTGAGGGAAGAAAGATAATGAATCCTTATCTCTTTGGCTTATATGCTTGGAGGGAGATGACAACACTGCATGTGACATTTGTAAAAGTTGCAGAGAAAAACTCAAGGAATGAGAAGGTGATTTTGAAAGGGGAGCTTGGTATTTCCATGAAGGAGCTTCTTAAGAGCTTCATAAGCCTTGAAGGAAACAAGAAGGGAAGGTTCATATGCCTCCTCTCAGGGGCTCTCTTAAGAACCTATATATTGCAGATACCTCGAGGGAATCCCGAGGATTTAAATCTGTCCTACTGTCTACATAAACCTTATCCAAGTGGTACTCTCCATGAAATAAAAACAGGTAGCAAAAAGTTGAGTTCATTGTTTACAGGCCTGTAAATTCAAACCTATATATAACTTAATATGTTGCCATTCAAGAATCTATGCATCAATGATCATTTGCTTTAAAACACAAACCTAAAAAAATTCTTCATAATCTACAAAATAGCATCGAGTCAAAACTTTGGATTTTCAATGCAAACCTTCTTTGGTGAAGACTGGAATAAAAGATGCTGGACACTTCAGGTCATATACTTGGATTGATGATCTGGCTTAACCTTGGAATTCCATCCGATGGCGCAGAACGTGCTGCTTCTTGTCCCTTATGTTCTTGCTGCTACTTGAGTTCCTAATTTCATGTCCCATATATGATGCAGAAGATGGATTCAACATCAGTTGCAGACAATGGAAGTGCCACCATGTTTTGTCACAACTTAAAGGAGATGAACAACAAACTCCAGTTCTCCTTCTTAATGGATATTCTACTGAGAGTTACTGGTTGCCAACGGAGCCAAACGACTTGATCAGAACCTTACTTGAAGAAGGGCATGAAACATGGCTGTTGCAATCAAGATTACACCCTCTGAATCCTTCAAACAGTTTTACAATTGAAGATGTTGGAAGATTTGATATCCCTGCTGGTAAAAAATTGTAAACACCTACTCTAACTCTTACTGATCTGATCCTATTGTATTTCATTAAGCATTTTCTTGCTTTACTACTTCTGCAGCAATTAATAAGATCATGGAGTTGCATGGACCATGTGTAAAGGTGCATGTAGTTGCACACTGCGTTGGAGGCTTAGCCATACACATAGCTGTCATGGGAGGTCATGTCTCTGCAACCCGTATAGCTTCTCTTTCTTGTACCAACTCTTCAATGTTCTTCAAGCTTAGTGCTTTGTCCACAGTTAAAATGTGGCTTCCTCTGATGCCAGTGAGCTCTCTCTCTCCCTCTCTCTCTCTCAAAGAAAAAAAAAGAACACAGTAAAACAATAGCAATGAAGATGTGGGAAAATTAGCAGGATACTTTTTTAACAAGGGGAGGAAAAAAGAAAAAAGAAGTGCTCTCAAATATGGCAAAATGCTTAAATAGATTATATGGTTTAAAGTTGTAGCAATTTAATAATCATACATAGTTTTCGTAAATACTAAGGAGACATAGAGTTCATAATATATGAGAGCCGCAATTGAGTGACCTAAAGATGCCTCTATTATTCTTTCATGCTTGAACCTTAAATTTTTTTTTAATAATGCAGATATCAATGTTCATACTTGGAAATAACAAGATACTTCCTCTGTTGGAAACATCATCGGTCAGCTCACGCCACAGCCTCCTGAAACTTATAGCCTGCTTCATACCCCGGTACGAGAAATGCACCTGCAATGAATGCGAAGTGTTTTCTGGCATATTTGGAAACACATTCTGGCACAAAAACATAAGCCCCACCATGCACCAGTGGTTGAACAAGCAAAGCTCAACAAGGCTTCCTATGGCAGCATTTCCCCACCTCAGAAAGATATGCAACTCTGGTTTTATAGTAGACAGCAGTGGGAGCAACTCATATTTGATCCATCCAGAAAGAATGGCACTCCCAACACTTTACATATCCGGCGGGCGGTCTCTCCTTGTGACTCCTCACACATCTTTCCTTGCTCATAAATACATGAAGTTGCACCAGCCTGGCTTCAGACATGAAAGGGTAGTTGTGGAGGGTTTTGGACATTCAGATTTGTTGATTGGAGAAGAATCTTACAAGAAGGTGTTTCCTCACATACTATCTCATATAAGATCAGCTGAACAAGGAAGAATAGGGAAGGGAAAGAAGTGCAGAAAAAAGGCCTTGGATTGGGAAGCTGATGATCAATATGAAGGCTTGGGTGAATTTGGAACTTGGTTTTCTCCTTTTGTTATAGTTTTGTTGTTGTTTATGTTGCTTTCTCTGCTAGTGTCATTCTTTATATAATTTCAGACCAAGCCAAAAGGAGTCATTGTTTGTATAATTGCAAAATAGGAAAATATCAACGACTGCCTTGTCAAAACCGCAGGCCCCGTACTCCACTATGTCTTGTAGTTTCATTTTGAGCATTTTGGGAAAATGTTCAAATAGTGTTAGTATGTTACTATGGTGACAGTCTTAAATCATTACAAATCAATGAATAAATAATAAACAATGTTTCAGTGATTTTAAAGTGACTCATATTAGTTATGCCATTGTACCTCTTCTAAGATTAAAATTAAATTATTTGACCTATTAGTGAGGAGAAGTTTTTGTCTATTACTATTGCACCTTTAGGTGATATTATTAATGCTGTGTTATGCAAGGGTTTGAAAACTGTGTTTGCCCAATGGAGTCTAGTTCAGAGAAAAAGGACATTGACTTGTAGATCATGAAATTTTAGTAGTGTGTGTGAGAAAATCTCTTTCGTCAAATATTATTTATATAAAATAAAATAAAATTTGTATTTGAATCTCACCTCCCTCCTCCAATATCGCGCATATAAAAGACGTCCCACTAAAAAATTACTCGTAGAAACAAGAAACGGCCAAATTTTGGGCTTGAGTTGCACCTTACTGAGAGAAGACTTCGGCCTGTCCGTTAATCTCAATTTCTTTGTCGAGAAAGTGGGCCCATTTCACCAGAAAAATTAAATAAATAAATATTAGTCGGAGCCAACAGTATGAGCTGGCCGGTAATTGCCGGGAACACAAATAACAATTTAAGACGGTCAAGAGAGACGACGTTGGCAGAGTGACACGTGGCATTAATCCATCAACCTCATCTTTCTGTCTCTATCTTTACCAAAGATGCCCCTCAAACCCTCTCAAAGATTCCTTTGTTCACTCACCAAAATCCTCTCTCTCTCTCTCTCTCTCTCTCCTCTCTCTACTGCGTTTGGATGATGAGGATGAGCAGAGCATCGAAGTTTTAGAAAGATGGCTTCTTTCTCTCTCCACTCTCATCCTCTCCCTTCGTCCAAAACCCTAATTCCCTGCACCTCCTCTTATGGCAGCCCTAGACGCCTCTCCCTGTCCAAATTCACCTCCCCACGTCCCCAACTTTCCTGTTCTGCTTCCAAGGAGGGTTCCTCCGGAGATAACATCCCCAGGTAATTAATTGAATTTTCTTCCTGGTGTTTGGTTGATGAGAAAATGCTGAATTTTAATTTACTTGTTTTTTTTTTTCCTCAGCACTTTTTGTATCATAGAAGGGCCAGAGACGGTACAGGACTTTGTTCAGATGCAGCTGCAGGAAATTCAGGACAACATCAGGAGCAGGCGCAACAAGATTTTCCTTCTCATGGAAGAGGTCAAAACTCAAAAGGGTGTCTTGAATGTTCATTTTCTTATGGCATATTCCTTGTTTGATACTTTTGGTTTGTGTAGCTAAGGAGATTGCGGGTGCAGCACCGCATAAAGATGGCGAAAGATATCGATGAGGCTTGCGAGGAAGAGTCAAATGAGATGCCGGACATTCCATCAACTATCCCTTTTCTCAATCATGTGGTGAGTTTCATTTATAATGTAGCAAACTGCCCTGAGCTTGCCGTTTACTTTCGGCTAAGATTGTGTGATTTTTGTTGTCATGTAGACACCAAAGACATTGAAGCAGCTCTACCTCACAAGTTTATCAATGATATCTACTGTAATTGTATTTGGGGGCCTTATTGCACCCACGGTAAGTCTGTAAATGTAGATTGTCAATTTAAGTTTCTTTATCGTGACTGTATGGTGCTCATTCTATACTATTATTCTAAGTAGATTTTCATTTTCCTTACCTCTTTATGTCTAGTGACCCTTATAGCAGGGTGGTACATGTTCCTCTTAATATTAATTTTAAAGTTAATGCGTTGTGCTGGTAAATATGTTCATGCACTTTACTGTTGTATGTATAAATGTCTCAACCTGTTCTCTGTGGCAGTTGGAACTAAAATTAGGTATAGGAGGTACCTCATATGAAGACTTCATTCGCAGCATGCATTTGCCTTTGCAATTAAGGTATTTATTGAACATGCTTTTTCCTGATTACGAATTTAAAGTTCAAGGAACCATTATATGTGTCTCTATGAAATACGGATTTGCTTACTTGGTGTCCTAAATTACTTCTGTTGGATCTTGAATTCAGTCAGGTTGATCCCATTGTGGCATCTTTCTCGGGTGGGGCAGTGGGTGTTATTTCAGCACTGATGTTGATTGAAGCTAACAATGTTGAGCAACAAGAGAAGAAAAGGTGCAAATACTGCCATGGAACTGGTATGTTTCAATTTGTCTCAAATACAAGTGTGCCAACAGATTTTCATGCTCAACAGTTGCATTTGAATTTAGGATCTCTTTGACGATTTTATTTATTAAACAAAAACGGGATGATGTTGTGGATATTATGTTTCTTCAAATTTATTGAAGTTTTTTCATCACAAAAGTTATTTTCAACTTATTCTGTTACTTTTTTTTGGGGTGTGGTTCCTTTTTTTTGTTTTTGTTTTTGTTTTTGTTTTTTCCGCATAATTGTTCTTTTGTATGAGTTTGAAAATTTTGTCTGATCATACTTGGACAGGGTACTTGGCCTGTGCTAGATGTTCAGCAAGTGGTGTGTGCTTGAACATCAATCCTATATCAGAATCTAGTGCATCGGACCGCCCTTTGCGAGTTCCCACAACTGAGAGGTGTCAAAATTGCTCTGGTGCTGGAAAGGTATGGAATTTGTTATACAAGGTGGCTTGTTCATGAGATATGATTTGGCATGTTGAAGTTTATGGAACTGTCATTTATCATACTAATCTACTAGTGTTGTTGATCATTTGTCTTGGCATGTGCTACACATGCTTCAAATCTCTCCATAAATCCATCTTATCATGTTTTCCTATGGTTTTAGTCATACTAAGCTTAAAAGAGAAGAAAGAATTATCAGACTTACGATGATTTGTCGTACTTCCCAAAGAAAAGATTTAGTGTTAAAGCTTCAATTGCAATTTGTTTCTTTTGATAAGAGAGCTTTGCAATTTGTTTCTTGATCTATTGTAATGCCAATCTCTCCCTTGTAGTACTAATCATCTTCCATGTTCATTTAGGTCATGTGCCCAACATGCCTCTGCACTGGGATGATGATGGCAAGCGAGCACGACCCACGGATAGATCCATTTGACTAAAGCAAACCACACAAATAACTTTACCAGTGTTATCTTCTTGTCGATGTAGCTTGGGAATAATTTTCCCATTTCCTGGACTTCTCCTCCACTGTCCAAAGACACAGAAAGTATATAAAGTAACAATTGTGTAAAAATAAAATAAGGCAATGGAATGTTGTCACAATTTCCCTTGATATTGGCATTGTTGTCTTAATTACAGAGTACCTCATGTAAGCTAGGAACACCAATTTAAGTTTACATTGTAAGTTTTCTGTTTGATGAGATGTAGGGATTGGGTACTTGGTTGAGCAGAATGCCAATTTAGATGGAAAGTTTACTTTTTGTTTACATATTCCATCAGAGATTATTAGAAGCAAAGCTATATTGACCATACAGAGCTGCAAAATAGTCTAATTACTTAAATAAAAAGAAATTGATAGGCAAGGGAGCTTACAGTGTGAGATCAGAAATAACCAATATGAATTTATTTGTATGACCAATTCAGCTGGCAACCAGAATCCAGGATTTCCTGCCATCAGAATTATAACTTTTAACAGATATTCTGTGTGCAGGAATGATGCGTTGAGAAACCTCATTTCTACTCAATTTTCTTTAACGTTAATCTCATTTATTTGACATGAGTGAGAGCGATCATATTTGATTATCAACACTGTTGGCTGTCCTATGAGACAAATCCACTCAAAAGAACAAAAAGATAATAGGATTCACAATCGTTTGTATGAGAAAAAATAGTATCTGCTATTGAAGTTGATGAAGCATTCATAACTTGTTCAGTTTCCAAAGAAGTATCAGCTCTATCCTTTAAGCACCACCAAACCAAATCATTCTAGCAAATGGATAATTAAGCTGTATAAGACAGAGATAAATCAAGATTATATATACTTAATTAGGGTATATATAATTAAGTTGACTACAATAATTTCAACAGACAGTTTGGCCGAGTGGTCTAAGGCGCCAGATTTAGGCTCTGGTCCGAAAGGGCGTGGGTTCAAATCCCACAGCTGTCAAATTAAACTTTTTTAAATCTTTTTGTTAATATTTAACACTTTCCGTTAAGTACTCGCGCGAGAGGAGCAACGACGTCGTATAGCTCATAATTTCTTGCACTATTATGTGTGGTTTGCTCAAGCCTGAAAGAAACATAATTGGTAGTTGACAGTTTTCTCTTTCATCACCATGGCTCGGACCCTCGGAAACAAACCGGGTTTTCAGCACCTCCTGACCCGATTCACAATCTCACGACGGCCACTGCAAACCCTAGCCTACGAAGAGCTCCGGCACTCCGCTGACCCAGAACCCTACCGCGCCACCGCTTTTGTCCTCCATGGCCTTCTGGGCTCCGCGAGAAACTGGAGATCTTTCTCTCGCGCCCTCCTCTCCAACCTTTCCAACCCATCTGGTCACTCTTCCTCTGTCTGCTTAACTTCTATTGGTTCCTCTGTTTTCTTCAATGCACTAATTTTGATAATTTGTTTTTTTGATTGTGTGTGTTTTTGTAGGTTGGAGATTGGTGCTTGTGGATTTGAGGAACCATGGGAGGTCTGCTGAGATCGAAGGTCTGAACCCACCTCATGATTTGGTCAATGCGGCCCAAGATTTGGCTCATTTGGTTAAGTCTCAAGGTTGGCCATGGCCGGATGTTGTTCTTGGCCACTCCATGGGTGGTAAGGTTGCTCTGCAATTTGCAGAAAGCTGTGCTCGTGGTCACTATGGTGGTTCCGCTAAGTTGCCCAAGCAGGTTTTCACTTTTTTCCTCATAGTTTCAACACTTGTGCTTTCTCTTTGCTGAAAATTGCTTTATTTTGGCATAATGTTTAAGTGAGTTATTCAAATTCTAGGTTTTCATCATCAGCAATAACCTGAACCATAATAAAACCTAATCATTCAGACCATAAATAAATAAATCTATCTAATCATTCTATCAAAATGAACTAAATTTGCAAGCTTTTTGCTTGCAGGCTGTTGTGCCTTTCCCTGATACAATATGGGTATATAGCGTGAATCAAAATCATATTTTTTCTTGGTGGGTTGGGGAGTAAGTACGACACTTTTGGTTCTCCACGTTCTTTTTGAACCTTGGATGTTGAAAACTTTCCAACCAATGTTTGTAAACTTATAAATTCTTATCATGCGTAGCTCTGTTGAATGTTGCATGGATCATGCTTAGTTTCCTGTGTTTGGTTTATGAGCAAGTAATGCTTCATAATCTATGTGTTGTCTACTGAACTCAAATTGAAACCAAAGCAAGGATTATCTATCACATTGGTTTTTCATTTTGATACGTCTCCTGCTGTCAAATAGGGCCAGCTTAGCCAATTGCCTAGTGAATTCTAACTCTTGAATTTATAGCTAAAAGGAAACAAAGAAATCATTTAAAAGCTTCTGATCCTGTGTGATTGAAAGCTCAGTTCACTTGCACTTAAAAATATTTTTGTGCCTATTTGTACTTTCTCTGTGATCCAGAACAGCTGTGGGTATTGGATTCCGTTCCTGGAGAAGTGATCCGTGAAAACAGTGATGGGGAAGTTGAGAAAGTTTTGCAGACATTGCAGAGTCTACCTTCATCAGTTCCATCACGAAAGTAAAAGCTCCTTCTCCTTATGATAAATTATTTGATTCTTATTTGTGTACATGGGTGCTGGAGTGTGTAACTGCCAGTATTATTATGGGGTAAACTGTTCAGAAGTAGGTGTCAGTTTTTTTTTTTGGGTCTGAAAGTAAGTGTCAGTTAGGTGGAGTTCTTTCTTTGTATGTTACCCCCTTTGGAGATTGACACAATTTCGTACATTGCTAAATTTATTCAGATGATTTAATTCTTCTGCCCAAAAGTCTCTATAATTTAGTGGAGGCTGTCAATCAAAGAAGTCAGTCTGCTTAATAATATTGGCCCATACCGTCAGATTGCTTCACTCAAGCAAGAGTCTTGGGTTCCGTCTTAGATTTACTTTGGTTAAGCTTGACCAGGAGTCTTTTTAAACTCATTATGAAACTGTTGTTTTTGCGTCGAAGCTTGGTTGCATGATGGAGTTACAAAGATTGTCACGTGTCATATAACGTTTATGTTTCCAAGTTTTTATGTGATAGATCTGGTTCTTGGCTTCAGGTGGCTTGTGGATCATATGATTGAACTTGGGTTCTCAAAGTCATTGTCAGAATGGATAGGCACCAACCTCAAAAAACAGGGAGATCATGAGACATGGGCGTTCAATCTTGACGGTGTTGTCCAGATGTTCAAGTCTTACCAGTAAATTTCTTATTATTTTCATATCAGTTCTTAGAAGTATAAACAATAATTTTTTTTCCCTCCCTCCCCCTTACCTTTCCATCTTTATACGAATCCAAAATATTAGGGAGAAGTCCTATTGGCATCTGTTAGAGCGACCCCCAAAAGATATGGAGATAGATGTTGTGCGTGCTGAGAACAGTGATCGTTGGGACCCGGATGTGATTCAACGGCTTGAAAGCCTTGCCAATCGGGAAGGAGATGGATCGGAGGGAAAGTTTTCAGTTCATGTTCTCCCCAAGTCGGGCCATTGGGTTCACGTGGACAATCCCAAAGGTCTTCTTGAGATTGTGGCACCTAGGATTTCATCCCTATGACAAGTTTTTTACGATAGTTGGGTTTTAACTTTTAAGTCACCTGCCGCAGAAAATATATGGAGGCCAATGTGATTGATTCAGAGGCATCTTGTTCAATTTCAAAACTCAGGCATTAAAATGTAGGTTAAAACAGGCAAAATAAATCAATCCGAGCAGTTTGGTTGCCTAGACTAACCTAACACCCTATATTAAGAACATGTAATTTTGTTATATTTTTACACCTACCACTCTTTTGTTGGATGCAATCATTTACTATCATATTTCATCTCACACATCGATGTTGTTAAACCATTCGAATTTGACGTAATGTCTCTCTAAAAAACTTTCAGTCTTCAGCAGTACGAAAGTTTTATCAACGATTCTTCAATTTCCGATATCAATTTAGAAGGGAGTATGCATATTTGTTTTAATTGCATATGAAGAGAAATGACCAAATCAAACTAAACCAAATTTGTCACTAAATGAATTTATTTGGTTTTATTATGCTAATAGTATGAGGCCTAAATCGAACTAATGCAAATCTGATATTACATTACTTTGATGTGCAGTGTGACATATCTATTCCAGGTTAATAGCTAGTTGCACCAAACGACGTCGTGGTAGTCGTTATCAGCACAGTCTGTATTTTTAATGATCCCTTTGCCCAAACGTAGCGCCAAATCCCCCATGGCGCGAACCATCGGAAACAAATCGGGTCTTCACGACCTCCTGACCCGATTCGTTATCTCACGGCGGCCATTGCAAACCGTAGCATACGAAGAGCTCCGGCCCTCCACCGACACAAAACCCTACCACTCCACCGCTTTTGTCCTCCATGGCCTCCTGGGCTCCGCCAGAACCTGGAGATCTTTCTCTCGCACCCTCCTCTCCAATCTCTCCAGCCCATCTGGTATCTCGTCTTCTCTGCTCAATTTATTAATTCCTCTGTTTTCATAAATACACTGATTTTGTTCTGACAAAAAAAAAACACTAATTTTGTTTCTTTTTTCTTTGATTGTGTGTAGGTTGGAGGATGGTGCTTGTGGATTTGAGGAACCATGGGAGGTCAGCTGAGATCGAAGGTCTGAACCCACCTCATGATTTGGTCAATGCGGCCCATGATTTGGCTCATTTGATTCAGACTCGAGGTTGGGCCTGGCCCGATGTTGTTCTTGGCCACTCGTTTGGTGGTAAGGTTGCTCTGCAATTTGCACAAAGCTGTGTTCTTGGTCACTATGGTGACTCTGCTAAGGTGCCCAAGCAGGTCTTCACTTTGCCCCTCAAAGTCTTGTCCTTTCTCTTTGGCGCTGAAGTTGCTTTGAGCTTAATAAAAAAAAAAACCTATAATTATTATCTTAGTCCGGCAAAGTGAATCAAAATGTGGAAGTTTTTGAGTGTAGGCTGTTGGGTCTTTCCTTGATGCAAAATGATTATATATTGTGAGTCAAAATAATGTTTTGTGGGTTGTGGAGTGAGTGAGTTCTACGCTTTTTGGTTCAAAGAGCTCTTTGCTTTGCATTTGTAGCATCTCTCGGATCAACTATTGGGACCCCACTTGTAGCTTCTTGAACCTTGAATGTTGAAAACTCTCCAACCAGTAAGCAAGGTTTTTAGGGATTTGGTTATGTTGCATAAATCTTTAGTTTCATTGTTTAGTTTTACAAGTACTGCTTACCAGACTGGTTTGTCATTTTAGTATGGCTTCTGTTGTCAAACAGGGCCTGTGGGCTAGTGAGTTTTACCTTTTGATGCCCTTTGTATTTTCTTTGTGACCAGAACAGCTCTGGGTATTGGATTCTCTTCCAGGAGAAGTGAACCCTGAAAACAGAAATAAGGAAGTTGAGAGAGTTTTGCACACATTGCAGAGTCTACCTTCATCAGTTCCATCACGAAAGTAAAACCTCTTTCTTCTTTTGATGAGTTATTTGGTTATTGTGTGTACTTCGATGGTGTAGTGTCTTAGTGTTATGGCGTAAACGTTCAGAAGTTGGTGCCTGGTGGAGTTCTTTCTAAGTGTTTTTCTGTATGCTAACCCCTTCGGAGATGACTATATTCCAAAAAGATTTTAAGTTTATTCAGATACTTTAGTTCTTCATACCAAAAGTGTGTATCATATAGTGGAAGATGTTACTCAAAGAATTCATCTGCTTAATAATGTCAGCACATACAAAAGCCTTGGATTCTGTCTAGCTTTACATTGGTTAAACTTGAACAGGTGTCAAGTTAACTCCATTTGTAGAACCCTTGCTTTTTGCTGCAGAATTTGGTTGTGTAAGGAGTTACAAAATTATCCTGTGCCTGCCCTTCATGTTTCCAAGTTCTTTATGTGATAAATCTGGTTCTTGGCCTCAGGTGGCTTATGAATCATTTGACTGAACTTGGGTTCTCAAAATCATTGTCACATTGGATAGGCAGCAACCTCAAGAAACATGGAGATCACGAGACATGGGCGTTTGATCTTGATGTTGCTGTCCAGATGTTTAATTCTTACCAGTAAATATCTCATTACTTTGAGATCAGTGTTTAGTAAAAGCAATGGAAATCTTTTTCCCTCCCCCTTACCCTTTCATCTTCTGTGATTGTGAATTATTGCAGGGAAAAGTCTTATTGGCCTCTGTTGGAGCACCCCCCGAAAGATATGGAGATAGCTGTTGTGCGCGGTGAGAACAGTGATCGTTGGGACGTGGAAGATATTGAACAGCTTGAAAGCCTTGCCAACCGGGAAGGAGATGGATCGGAGGGGAAGGTTTCAGTTCACGTTCTTCCGGAATCAGGCCATTGGGTTCATGTAGACAATCCAAAAGGACTTCTTGAGATTGTGGCACCAAAGATTTCATCCCTTAGACCATAAACCATAGTTGGATTTTAAAAGTCATCTACCACAGAAGAGATATAGTGGATTAGTGATTTCTTTCTTATGACTTTACCATTTGTGCTGGCACCCAGCACCTTCATGGGATGAATGCGTCTGTGTTAATAATATTGATACTAACTCTCTAGCCTTAAATGTACAAACCTGAGAATTACAAAATTTATGCTTGCATTTAGAGATATATCCTTTTGTATTTCAATTATTCACTTATAATAAGCATTTTTATCATTTGGCTGATCTTTTCTGGTTTTTGGATTTCATCTGGCTCTAAATTATAAAACTCTCTACCAGTTGCTAACATGGGAATTTGATTAATTGAGAGGCATCTTCTTCATTCTAAAAACTTCTTTTTTTTAATTAATTGGGGCGTGAGATTCAAACTTGAAACATTTTTCAACATTGAAACGAAAAGTACATTTAGACTAAAGCTAGTTGATTTATTTATTAACTCCGCACAATTTGCTAAACCTAATATGGAGTGTCATATTGAAGTAAAATCTCTTAACTGCTTCACTACCTAAGTTGCACTATATGAAGGTTCTTCATCATATTATAGAGGGGAAAGGACAGCGAAAGAAAAGACAAAAACAGAAAATGAATGACCATTGATATGCAAATATAATTTGATTTAAAAAAATACTTTAATGAGAAGAGAAAAAACAGAAAACAATGGCGGGTTTTAGAAAGATATGGAGATAAAATTTAAGTAAATTTAGGTTTTAGCTACAAAAAAATTTCACTTTTGGAAAAAGCCAAAACTTTTCCGAAAAAGACAAAAAAACATCTCAACTTTCAAACTAAAGACATGCAAATGTGAAGGATTCCTTAGGAAATCCACAAATAAATAAGGGCATTTTTATCCATTTTGGCTCTTCAAAAAATATTTCTCTCCCCTAAAATTTGTGCTGCAATTATGCCTTATGCTTGCAAGCTCTTGATCCAGGAACTCCAATCGATGAACATTGTTCCTCTCGTAACACCGGCGGAGGCGGACAAGGAATGAAGTTGTCAACTATTGACTTTTCTTGACACGGCAAAGTACAAATTGAAAGGTGCCGGCCTTCAACGTATTCTAGTTTTCCATTGTGAGGCAGTTGCGGCATGACAAAGATGTTGGTTTAAGAAATTGGAGGTGATTTTGAAATAGTAAATAACAGTGTTGTACATATCAACTGGTGTACATAAATATGCCCCTTCGAATCATCTCTCTTCTGAAATAATTTAATAATTGAGAGAGTCAAGGATTAAAAAAAAAAAAAAAAAATCAAACCCTATGAAGCAAAATATCCAACCAAGTCGAGCAAACGACTCAACCTAATGAAGAAAAAAATCGAACTCTATGAAGAGAAAACCGAAAACGAAGAAGAAAAAACCAAAACCAAATGAAGCAAAAACCTAATTCATATGAGGCAAAATATTTAACTAGTGATACAAAAACAGACATTTAGAGCAACTCCATCCATTTGCCTATTGCCATGGCAAAGGGGGGGTTAGGGCAGCCACTATTCACGTAAATAGTAGTTGCCCTTGCAAATAGTATTATGTGTTTCCACCTGTTGCCATGGCAAAGAGCAATTATTATTCAATTATTTTTTGTTTTTTTCACAAATTTTTTTACCTCAATAATTAATTTGGATAATATTTTTTGGATAAGATTTTTGGGTTCCTACATGTCAAGACTATTCATAATCGGATAAATTTTCTGGATAAGATTTCTGAGTTCAAATTTGGGATGAATTTCAAAATTCAAAATTCAGATAAATTTTTGGTTTCAAATTTCGAATGAATTTCAAAATTCAAAATTCAAATGAATTTCAAATTTCAGATAAGATTTTTATCCTATCAAATCAAGCCCTGTGGCATCTCTATCTGGCCAAAATTTTCTATAAAACCAGAGGCTCAACTTATTACCTCTCACACCACATCTTTTTATACTTTCATTTCTCAGAGTTTAGAATTCATACTCCATTCTCAATGGAAGATTTGAGGAGATGTTTGGAGAGACAAGAGCAAGAAACAAATGAGAAAAGCCGTAGACGAGCTGAAAGGCAAAGGTTGCAAAAAGAAGAAGATGAACAAGTTGTCATAACAGTAGCTTTGCTAGATGAAGAGAACCAAGGTCGCCGTCGTGGTTCACAAGTCGGCCGTGGCTCGAATGTGGACAGACATAGGCATTCTCGGGGTAAGAATCTTTTGGAAGATTATTTTATCCCAACTTCTTTGTACTATGATGTTGATTTTCGAAGGCGATATAGAATGCAACCCCATTTGTTCAATAAAGTCATGCATGATATTTGCAATTATGATGCATATTGTTCAAAAGTGTGATGTTGCTGGGGTTTTGGGACTTCTTCCGGAGCAAAAAGTTACAACTGTTATACGAATGTTAGCGTATGATTTATCTGTTGATCAGGTGGATGAGATTGCCCGGATGGGGAAGTCCACTACGTTGGAGGCCTTGGTAAGATTTTGTGATGCAGTTGAAACTCTGTACACTAGGGACTACCTGCGCAGACCAACTCCCAGGGACCTCCAACAGCTTCTACAAAAAGTCGAAGCTCGAGAATTTCTAGAAATGATTGGTAGCATCTACTGCATGCACTTGCAATGGAAGAATTGCTCAACTGCCTGGCAAGGAGATTACGAGAATAGAAAAGGCCAAAAAAGTATCATCCTTGAAGCCGTTGTTGGTTTCGACACATGGGTTTGGCATGCCTTATTCGGAGTTGCAGGATCCCAAAATGACCTCAACGTGCTGGGTCAATTCTCGGTCTTCAACGATGTTTCGATAGGTGCAGGCCCGAATATCACCTATCAAATCAACAATACAGTGTACCAGATGTGGTATTACTATTATCTAGCTAACGGCATCTACCTAAGGTGGACCACATTTATCAAATCCATTCCAAATTCCCGATCCCAGAAGCAAAAATTATTTGCTTCATATCAAGAATGATACAAGGAAGATGTCGAAAGGTGTTTTGGCATCCTTCAAGCTCGATAGTTGATTATTCGAGGTGTGGCGCGTATGTTTGATGAGGAGATCCTGAGAAGCATTATGATGACTTGCATCATCCTCCATAATATGATTGTCGAGGATGAGTATGATTATGATGCTGTAGAGGTCTACGAACCGGATCCCATGAACACGACCTTGACATGAATTTATGAAATGCCCATGGCGCCAAGTGGAGAATCATTTGAGCCGGATCCATTGGTTAAGGATGATCGTTTCATGAACCGTATGATAGATCGATATACAGAAATGCAATCTTCGTATATTCATGAAAGGCGTCAACTTGACTTGATGGAACATCTATGGGCGGTGAAAGGCAATGAAGGTGAATAATGGAGCATAGATGCTTTGGTTAGGTTTTATTTAGTTATGGTTTGGTTGTGTTGTTTTTTTTATTATTATTATGGTTTGATTGTGGTTTGTTATTATTATTGTGCTTTGGTTGTAGTTTTTTTTATTTTTTATTATGTTTTGGTTGTGGTTTTTCCTTTTAATTATGTTTTGTTTGATGTATGGAATATGTTGAATAAAAAGGTAGTTTATTAAATAAAGAAAGCCAATACAAGTCATTAAGAATTACTACTACTAAAATAAAATACATGAATTACAACAACTTTAATACAAAACATGAAAAATACAAATAAATAAAAGGTATGCCAACTAATTTAATGGTTTTGATCATTTAACCAATCCGTGTTGCTAGGCCCATCATCACGGAAAAGTCTTCTTCGCATAACATCCCTTCGTTCTAGCTTCCAAAATTGTTTTGTTTCAGGAGACATATGGCTTGTATCCATGACCATGATTTCCCGATCCTTCTTGTGAATGATTTCTTTGCGCAAAAACTCCATTTTTTGAAGATTTTCTGCTCGAATTTCCATCTCGTTATCTTGGTGTTTCCTCTCCATTTCAATTCTTATTGCGCTCTGCCTTACAATTTCCTCCAAATTTTTTGATGTATTATTGCTAGAATTACTCACTTTCTTCGCCTTTGCAACCTTTCGGCCAATGGGCCTCGGCTCCTTTTTGATGAATGAGTCTTGACTCATAGGGGAATCGAGAGGTGAATCCGATGTCGTTGAATCACGGAGTGGTGTCTCGTTTAACATAACGGCATAACCCATGAGAATAATTCTGAAGCGTTTGCAATTTCTCACCACCTCCCAACATTCATGATGGTTGAAAGTTTTTTTGCCTTGCCCAATTGCACCAAACCACATCTGTGCTTGAATCATCTATTAAACAAAAAAATAATGGAAATGCAAGACATGAGACAATGACTAATTTGGACCCAAGACTCTGACAAGAAAACATCTTCCATGGTGCTGCACGCCCTTCTGGTTTCGATAGAAGAAGCCATAAAGATAAGAAATAAAAATACAATTTGAAAGAGAAGAAAATGTTGAGTAAAGAGTGAATAGTAGAAGTAGAAGAAAATGTATGAGGATTTGTGTTGAAAGTGAAAGGTATTGATATGTATTTATAGAACGAAGGAATTTGTGCTAAAATAGCCATTTTTCACAACTTCTATTCTATAATAGCCCTATCTCAATGCCATAAAGCAAACCATAATTGTTAAAAATAAAAATACAAAATTAGTGTTTCTTTATATTTTTTGCAAAAGGTTTTTGTAGTATTTTATTTCATCACTAAAAAACAAGAAAGAAAAAGAAAACAAAGTGGTGTAGTATGGTAGAGAAACTATAGAATTAGGAATTAAAAGGGTAATCAGGTCATTTCAGAACCCATAGAGAAACCCTAACTATAAATCTCAACAAGAGATATAGCCATCTCATCTCGGCAGGCAGAGGGTTTTGAAAGCGCTGAGCTTGAGCGCCACCGTTGTGAATAACCTCTAAGTAATCGCTTGCTTGTAGCCATGGTAAGCAACTTTCTCTTCATCTCTGCTTTCTGTTGCATCTGCTTCATCCCATTTTCCTCTCTTCCTGATCCATCAGTATTTTATGGTATTTACATTCTATGGGGCTGCCCAGAAAGTGAAAGCAAAATATGAAAAGAACATGGACTTTTTTTTCTCTCTTGAGTTTTCTCGCCAACCAAACACAACATGATTCAACTTTCGTGGTGTATTTTTTCAGAGGAGTAGATTTATCAGCAACTTTGTATTTTGATCTTGTTTATAATATAATTTTCCGATGCGCTTTATCATTTCTACTATGGATTAAGCTTAGAACCATTCAATTACTTGTATGAAGTTTTGATTTTTTTTTTCTTCTTTCAATTGGTTTTGTAGTCGAGAAGGAAGACCAGGGAGCCCAAGGAGGAAAATGTCACTCTCGGACCTGCTCTCCGGGATGGAGAGCATGCTTTTGGTGTTGCTCATATTTTTGCCTCATTTAATGATACATTCATTGTAAGAACTATCATATTCTTCTTTTATCTTGTAACCATGATTACTTGTAGTTTAAGTTATATATAAATTTCTTGTTTTCTAATTGCAGCATGTAACTGACCTGTCTGGAAGGGAGACACTTGTTCGCATCACTGGTATAATATTAAACTTCTCTTTTGTTAATTGAAATAATGTTTTGGTATTTTTTGCTTTGGAATTACATGGTTGGAATTCTCCCCAGTAATTGAGTCAACCCATAATTAATTGTATAGCTTTTTCATCAAAACTAGTGATGTGTACGAATGATGGGTGCTCAAATATTAATGCATTTGTTTTTTTTTCTTCATTGTTAATGTTCTTCATAAACCGGGCAATTTAGTCCTGGCATTTCAAAGATAATTTTCTTTTGATTATGCCTCTGCTGTTGCTATAATACCTTATCACCTTTTTCCCAAATGCAGGTGGTATGAAGGTGAAAGCTGATAGAGATGAATCATCGCCATATGCAGCCATGCTTGCGGCTCAGGATGTTTCTCAACGGTGCAAGGTCTGCATGTTTTCCTTCTACTGGTTTTCAGTTGTATACTTTGAATTATATGCCTTGGTGGATGATTATGTCAATTGGCTACGGCATTACCACGCTTGTTGATGGTAATTTGATATTATGCAGAAAACTGCTTCTTGACTCTTAGTACTGATTTTGTAGGAGCTTGGCATTACTGCTTTACATATAAAGCTCCGGGCTACTGGAGGGAACAAGACTAAGACTCCTGGTCCTGGTGCCCAATCCGCACTCAGAGCCCTGGCTCGTTCTGGCATGAGAATTGGTCGTATTGGTAATTTCCTTTGCTGTTTTATTTCTGTCTGCCTTGCTAAATTTATTATGCATCCATATCTTTTTTACCCTTTTCTCCCACTATTGGTTTTAAATGTGTTCTGTGCCTCTCCTGATGCTTTGCACTCCCAAGTGATGATTGGGAATTCTGGAAATTTGGTCTTATGGCTTTGCTGCTTTTAGAGAACCTATGTAAAGCACTTAGAGCTCATGCCTGATATACGATAATTACTTTGGGTTTGTAGTGTAGAGACACATAAACAATGTCATCTAAGTTAAACATTTGAGGTGCTGGTTTTGTAATTTTCAATCCTGAGTGCAGTTCTTGATGTTTTTTTTTCCCCTGTTTTGGCAGAGGATGTGACTCCAATTCCCACTGATAGCACTCGTAGAAAGGGTGGCAGAAGGGGAAGAAGGTTGTGATTGCTTTCAATTGTGTGGTTTTTGCTGGCGATGTGGTTTCTGGGATATTTCTGTTTTGGATAAAAAAAAATTATTATCAGCCTTGCTATCGGCTCGGATGTAGTTTCAAACCTAGTTAGATTATTGTGCCGGAAAAGAGAACTAGAATTTGATTTGGTTGACAATTATCATTTGAGCTTTACACATCAAATGCTGTTATTCACTTGTTTCTTCAAGGTTTTTAATCGGATGCTGGATTCTATGTTTTGTTCCTTATTGAGCTGAAATAATCGGATGCTATTAATTAGAAAATAGGTAGCCACTGAAATAATCATGAAATCTAAACACTGAAGGCTGTCAAGTTTAACGAAACCTTACCGTGTGCGAGGATAAAAGAACGAAAGGGACGCTTACACAAAAATTCTACTAGAGCGGTGTTAATTTCACTACCTGTGGTTGAGCAGGACATACAATTACTAAGCTTCTCAGTCCAATAGTAATGTTAGAGACAAATTAAATGCTCCCATTTCTCTCTACACGTTGGTGTGTTGAACTTGATTGGATTGTTTCAATTAAATTGAAAAAGTGACCGAGTCATTGTTCGGTATTCTAGGACTAAACTTATTGTGTTTTAGAAGACCTACGAGTTGGCTCATTAGAGCATGTAAGGCTAAGACAAAGGCAAGGCAAGGGCTGCTACTATTCACGTATATAGTGGCAGCCTTGCCTTTTTGGGTTCCATCCCAAAAGGTAAGGGCAAAGGCAAGAAAAAAAAAAGAAAAAGAATATGCAACAAAATATAAACAATTTAGAAATGCAAGAAATAAAATGATTATGCAAGAAAAAAATAAATATGGAAGAAAATATAAACAATTTACAAATGCAAGAAAAAAAATGATTACAATTTACAAATATTGGAAGGAGAAGAGTTTGTATGAGGATTTGGTGTGAAAAGTGAATAAAATTGTTATATATTTATAAGGACAACATCCATAATTTTTTGGTTTTTTTTTTAAAAAAAAAATCTTTTTTTTTAACTCGCTGACATAAGCGTGACCTCACCACTGATGTCAGCGCCTTCGGGCTTGAGCCCAGACATGATCTGCCCTTGGGCTTGCCTTGGCTGGTGGGACCCAGGGCTTGCCGGGCTGAATTGGTAGCGCTGCTGGACATGCTCTTAAAGTCCGGGGGATACCAGGATAGGAATAACTGTTAACCTTATTTACTCGTAGCAAACGAAAAACTGCTACATGAATTGGTGTCCAAAAGTTCAGTGTAATAAAATGGTGTCACTAGCAATATTGATCATTTGAAGAAAAAGAATGGTTCTAAAAAGAAAAATGTTGAAATCTAGTGCAAGTGTAGAATTCTCAAAATAGGGCCCAATCCAGATTAGTTACGCTTCTAAGCAACCGGCCCAACTACATCGGGTCCGTTCGGGTCAAGCCCTGTCTCGCAGCGAAATGAAACCCTAGAAACAGAGATTATAAAACCCTGACGAAGCCATTTCCGCCTCTCACTGAGTCTTTAGACGGAGGCAGGGCAAGATGCAGATTTTCGTGAAAACCCTAACCGGGAAGACCATCACTCTCGAGGTCGAGAGCAGCGACACCATCGACAATGTCAAGGCCAAGATCCAAGACAAGGAGGGCATTCCACCAGACCAGCAGCGTTTGATTTTTGCTGGCAAGCAGCTTGAAGATGGCCGCACCTTGGCTGACTATAACATCCAGAAAGGTCAGTTTTCCTTTTTCTTATCTGGGTTTTTGGATTGATTGGTTTGATTTTTGATTATGGAGTCTAATTTGGTTGCTCTGTTTGTTTCAGAATCGACTCTTCATCTTGTTCTGAGGCTCCGTGGAGGTATTATTGAGCCTTCTTTGATGGCTTTGGCTCGCAAGTACAACCAGGACAAAATGATTTGCAGAAAGTAATGTTCTTTTTCATCTCAAATCTGTTTGTTTATGTGTAAATGATGTGATTTACTGAGATTTTTTTTGGGTTTTCTTGTCGTAGGCTGTTATTGATTTAGTTCTAAATTTTGATTTAGAAACTTATGGGACAATTACTTAGCCTCCTTTTTTGATAATGTGTAATTGAGGTTATACTTGTCCCAATACAAATTTCCATTCTCTTAACTTTGTCAGCTGGGCTCAATCACTTGCAGCTGATTTTCATGAGTGGGACATTATTTTGTTATTATTATATTTTCTTTGTAAACCCTGTATATCATAGCTATGTGAAACACTTGCTGCATTTTGGTCCTATAGTTAATTGAGATTTGATATGCGAATAGGGCAGAGTAAGTTGGCTTAACTAATTTAAGCTAACCGTTTGTGATATTAATTAATTTCTTTAAATATATTCATAAATTTGGTTCCCATTTCTACCTCCACTCGTCAGATTTGTTGGCTGGATCCATTTAGTGTGAGTTAATCTTGTGGGTGTGGTGGGGCATCATTCTAAGGTTGCGGCAGCTCATGAGCTTAACTTTTGGGACAATTACTTGAACTCCTTTTTCTGCTGGAATGAATTAAGTTTATGCATGTTTCAACGTTTATTCCACTCTTTAACTTTAACAGCTGACATAAATTATTTTAAGTTGATATCATGGGTGGGTCAAAATGTTGGTCTTGTTAAATTTTCTTACTAGATTTGGGCTAACCAAATTGTGTGAAAACTTTCTGCATGAAGAGAGTAGAGGTTCATGTTGAATCAAATGCTCTATAGTGTTGCACTTATGTTCAATGTATGGTATTGTGGCTTCCAATTTTATTTCCATATTTCCCTGATTGGTCTGTCAATATTTGATGTTGTATGATTGTCCCACGCGCATCTAATTTTATATATTTTCTGGTTTTTTAGATGTTATGCTCGGCTGCATCCAAGGGCAGTGAACTGTAGGAAGAAGAAGTGTGGCCACAGCAACCAGGTACTTTTATCTTTCCTTGGACATGTTTAGTTTTTATTTATTTAGCATTTGAAGTTTGATCAGAGAATTGCATAAGTTTATGATTGATTGCTTAGGATCTCTTTCTGTTCTGAACTGAAGCTGTGTTTTTTCGTTTTCTTGCAGTTGAGGCCAAAGAAGAAGGTCAAATAGACTATTGTTCTAGTAATTTTCCCCTTGTCTAGACTGGAGTTCGAATTTTGCAATTCGGTTAAGTCATTTGCTTTGTATTTGGAGTTAAACAAGTGCAGTTTATATTAAGATATATGAATTTTGGGATAATTTTGGTCTCTTGGTTTATATTTGCCTTGTTATCTGGTTTCCAGATGCTGCTTGAATTTTCCTTTCGGTCGAGCTTTGTGTGATGTGAATGCAGCTAGGTTTTTTCTTTTCCTTTGCTTGGCCAGTTTCATTTTTTTAGCTATGGCATTGTTAAATTTCCAATGTCAATAACCTACCTAATTGAAAAGGAAATGTCAAGTCTTTATTCAGTCTTGTTTAAGACTTGGGATGTTCGATGGTTTAGATGTAGTGAAAATTACATTTCCCTTTCGGTTTATGTTGATGCCCGAAAGAAAACTGAAGGAAATGTTTTCTCTTTGGTGGTCGTCATTAAGTGGTATTATAATCCATTTGCTCAATTTGAACGTCCGAGGAAGAGCTGGTTTCTTACTAGTTCCAACTGCTCCCAACGTCCGAGACTGACCCATTTTTTCCCTCGCTATTCAGCCCTTTTTCTTTTAACCCTTGTAAGTTGTATTTGAGGTCTCCTGGTGCCTCAATCCTTACCTATTCCATTTTGTTATGTTTTATTGTAAAATTCGAGTACACATTTTTTTCTTTGTTACATATTCTGCATGATCTATTAGAATCTTAAACCCTTGCAAATGGATGGGCCTCAAAATACCAAGAAAGAAAAGCACAGGCCCTTCCAAGATATTGAAAAAACTCAACGCTATATTGTTAATAGAATATAGTTATACATGTGATTGTATTACAGTACCACACTATAATTACGCATAGCGCACGTGATTGTATTACAGTACCACACTATAATTACGCATAGCTCACGAATGAATAGTTTAATATCATGATGGAAACAGATAGATGGATATCAGTTTCGTATTGTGATTTTCTGAATCAGAGACTTGGTATCTATTCCTTTACCATAGAAATTTTCAAGGAATTCTTGGGGCGTGAAGTCTCGATAAATTGGCGGGTTGTGAGGTGACAGAAGCTCTGGAAGAGGGCCACAGTAACCATCTTCCCTCCATTTGGCTAGGTTGAAAAATATCACAATTGAAATCCGAGATTCCTTCCTGGAGTTGGCCAGCACTCTGTGCTGCACACTTTTATACTCCCCATTTGAGATTATCTGCAGCCTCACCACAAACACAGAGTCTTATTTGGACCCAACCAAACTTTGACAAAATATAGTTACCATGAGAAAGTTAATTAATTGGAAGTCCATTTTACTTATTATTTTAACAAGAAGATAAGATTTGATACTCCCTTCACTTTTATGCTTTATTCAAATAACAAAACAAAAGCTTAAACTTTTATTATTATTTCTTTTAATAAGAAAGAGACCGCTTGTTAAGAAAAAAAAAGTTATGGTGTGTATCCTATACCGTAAGTACGAAATGACGATGCAAATCTATTGAATCCAACCAGATTATAAACCCACACTAGATCGGCATGCCGCATCGGTGTATTAGAGTTTTACATGTGTTATGTTGTTAGATTATCAATCAAAATATTAGATTCAGAGTTGAATTTACCTGAAGAAAATCTCCAACGTTAATGATCAAACCACCAGGCACAGGCTTCACATCCAACCACTCATTCTCATGCCTAACCTGCAACCCCGGCACATGGTTTTGCAACAAGACCGTCAAGATCCCGGGATCCGTATGCGCCTTAATCCCTACCGTCAGATCAGGCTGAGGACAGTAAGGATAGCAGTGCCCCACAAGCGCCCTTGAATCCGAAAACGTCAGCTCCTTAAACCTCCCACGCTCCAAACCTAACCCTTCCGAGAGCAACTCCATAACGTCATCAGCCACCTTGGTTGCATGCAAATCCCATTCAACCAACTCTTCCCTGCACACCTCCGGGATCTCCTCCACGTTGGGCGGCTCCGGCCCCATCCACATCTGCAGCGAGTCGTGCCAGCTGGCGGCGGTTGTACGGTACAAGTCGTTGTTGCTGGCATACATAACTCCCTTTCCTTCATCTCGCTTGTAGTACTTGGCTTTCACCTCAAGGGGCTGCTCGTGGAAAGCTTTGACCGCGTTCACTGTCTCGTCTAGGAATGAGACGGGCACCCCGTGGTTGGTGACCTGGAAGAAGCCAAAGGTTTTCGCGGCGGCTTTGACCCGGTCAACGATATCGGGGCGGTGGGCAGGGGAGGTGATGTGGGAGAGGTCGATGGTGGGTATGACAGCGGCAGTTGGATTGGAGGAGGGTTTGAGGTCGGATAGGGTTTGAGGGTCGTGGACAAAAATTTGAGGGATGGAAGTGATGCCGGAATCGGAGAGGCCTTTGACTCCCATCTTTGACTCGTCAAATTCCTTCACTTCCTTCATGCGATCATATGAGCTTGAACTTGCATCAACACTGGCTGCCATTTTCTCACTAGGACTAGTTTTCGACAGAATTGCAAATATATTTCTTCTATGTTATATATATAGGAAAGAAAAAGTGTTCACTTTTATTTTATTTATTTATTTATTTTTATATCGTTGAAGTTTCAAGTTTACCTACCGCGTTCATTTCCTTTTTCATGGAGTTGGAAAAAAGAGGGTAGAGATTGCACATCCATGCATGTGTCATCATCCCCATCATGCACGTTATACTACTTTCAGTAAAAAAGTCATATTTACTCCACGAAAATTCTAATTTACTCCACGAAAATTCTAACTCATTTGTATTTTATTTCAGTTTTGTCAAATTATTCTTGGTGTCAATAAATGATGATTATGTAGACGTTTTTTTTGAAAACGCGCGCCCTCTCACAATCACAAAAAGTATTTCAATATTGGGATTATCCCTCCACTTTAGTAATTTAAAATTAATATATTTGTTCACACATTTCAATCTCCACCGGTTATATGGATAATGAAGATTTAATAATTATAAAAAACACTAAGACCATCTCCAATCATGGGAGGTCAAACCTAAAATTTGAGATTTTTAGCCCAAAACCTTCTCCAACCCATGTATTTGGAGGGGAGGTAATTTGAGTGGACTGAAAAATGGGGTGAAATTTCACCTCAGATTCCAGTCCAGGCAGAATTTTTGTGGGGCCCATTTCGCAAAAGACAAGAGACACATGAGGCCACATTTGAAGCAAATGATGGGCTGTTGCCCACTACCCCAAGTTGCTGGCCACTTGTCAAAGCCTAGGCAACTTAAAAATTGGACTTCTATGGCTGCATATAAAATGGGCTCCTTTCAAATTTTTTTTTTAAAACTTAAAGGCTAGAAATCAACGGCTGATATTAAATTTTGGCTGGATCAAAGGGAAAAAAATTAATCCAACAGCTGAAATTTAAATCCAAAGGTCAAAATAAGTAAATATATTATTATAAGTTGGATGCAACCTCAAAACATATCCTAAACTCTATAAATACCCATCAATTTGTAATAAAATTATGTTTGTGAAATCTCAAAAAATTTATGTCAAAATGTTCAAAAAAATAAATCATGAAGTAATATGCAAAAATTAATTTTAAAAAAATTAACCACAAAAAAAAAAAAGGATTATATTATTCTTTAATAATTTAATAAAGTTGCAGACTCAAATTATGAGTCCGCAAGGTTGGAGGAAAAAACAGTTTGAGTCCTAAAAATACATGAATAGTTGTATTTTGGAGGGTGAAAATTTGAGTTTAGCCCTAACATGGTTGGAGATGGTCTTAAGAATGTGCTCATTCTTGCATTATACAAACCAATACTTAGCGTTATACGGAGGAGAATAGGCTACTTTGTTAGTCAAACGATCGAACTTTTATGTGTAAAGAGACTCATCTATTTCTCTAAACTTTAATTTCTTTTTGTATCGGTTACTTCCTATTCAATAATATATTGACGCCTTTTGCACCCCCCAAAAAAAATAAAAAATACTTGAATGCCAAAATGTCACATCCCAACCCTCGGATTTACAAAACCTTGGGTTAAGACGTGATTCACACTTTAATTATAGAATTTAATAAAAACTATAACTAAAATGTGAAGAAGACATTTAAATAAATAAAATAGATATTTCACATAAAATATTCAGCAGAAACGCGGAAACGATAACGTTTGAAACCATAAAATTTTTACATTATTTTACAAGTTAGAACTACTCAAGAGTTCACTTAAAGAGTAGCTCATTATTCAACCACAAGCTATGTTACATTCTATAGACATGCCAAAAATCATCACAAGCTCTAGATTTCAGGTTCGGTACCTGCAAAATCTATTAGGGG